CCCACAGGAAAACGCTTTAGGAAGAACACAGCCGTGGCATTAGAATATATCTCTTTTCTACTAACCTTGGGGTTAAGGGGAACAGAGGTGGAGGAACACAGTTGCCATATTTTACCTTTGAGCGCAACTAGGTTACTTGACCACTTGTATTTCCCTATGGCTTCTACTACACTAACCTTATCGCCCTTCTCAGAACTTTTCTCTTTCCTAACACATCCTTCATCCCTCTCTCTATCCCACATATCCATTCTTGAAGACCAGTTTTAACCTTAATCCACAAGAGGTCTTCATTAGTTACTCTGGTACATTCTACCTCTACATAAAAATTGCTCTTGGGACGCCTGGGTGCTCGCTCAGGCAGTTAAGCATCCAACTTCTGATTTCAGCTCAAGTCATGATCCCAGAGTCATGAGATCAAGCCCTGCATCGGGCTCTGTGCTAAGCCCCTCCCACACTCCTGTGTACCCTCTCTCTCTCTCAAAATAAACTTTAAAAAAAAATTGCTTTTAATACCACACAAATGACTACTTTGTTGCTCTATATCTTAAGTGCTTTAATTTGATCTTCCCCCCCAAACAAAGGTAAAAGAATCTGTGTATATATTCTAGGAACACAGTAAGTAGCAAAAATTAAGTTACATACAAAAATTAAATTAACATACACTGAACATTTACTGTATACCAATCCTGTGGTATTTTACATGCACTAGTACCATATATAAACATTACAATAACCCCATGGGATAATTATCCCATTTTACTGATGCAGAGATTGAAACAGAGAAAGTCAAGTAACTTGCTCAAAATACCACTTATTGGCTGATAAATATTCCATGAAATGCTTTCTGAACATCATCTCATTTGCCCCTCACAATTCTGAGTTTGCTACAAATGTTATTATTTTACATAAATGGTAAGAAATCTTAAGTACACTATAACTCAATGGTACAGGTAGAACTGTAATACAGATATCCCAGAGCTCTCAGTGCTGTATCATAATATCTTATTTGAAAGAGGAATAAAAATACAAAGGTTATCACAGATTCATCCCCTAAAGCTCCAGCCTAGTTCACACCCAGGTTCTACCACAGAGAACTCAAGTGTGCTCCATGAAGGTTCCATCCCTAAACTGCTACTAGAGTAATAGATACTAATGTTAATACAAGGTCCTCTCTCACATGTGATGTCACGTGATGTCATTTAAACCTAACAACCTGATAAGTAGATATGAGTTATCACCAGACTCAAAGAATTTATATATTCTGTTCATTCAAGGTCTTACAGCTTAATAATAGCATTAAAGCTCAAAATCAGGACTTCAGACTCTTCATATGTCTTTTCTTCCTACTGTGTCTCAAAATTAGCTTTACATTTTATGCCGATACTCTGTAATTGTTTCCTCAAGGTAATGAATAAATATGACCACCAAAATGGAGGGCTTCAAATTTTTTTTTCTGGGTTCACAGGCCCTTTTTAAAATGAAATCTGGGGGCGCCTGGGTGGCGCAGTCGGTTAAGCGTCCGACTTCAGCCAGGTCACGATCTCGCGGTCCGTGAGTTCGAGCCCCGCGTCAGGCTCTGGGCTGATGGCTCAGAGCCTGGAGCCTGTTTCCGATTCTGTGTCTCCCTCTCTCTCTGCCCCTCCCCCGTTCATGCTCTGTCTCTCTCTGTCCCAAAAATAATAAATAAACGTTAAAAAAATAATAATAAAATAAAATAAAATGAAATCTGTAATCACCCAATTAAAAAAAACAGTTGTGCATACACTTTCAGGGCTTCATGGGACCCTATACAAGACTGTACCTTGAAGGGCAGAGGCAATAACTTAATGCTCCTGTTACATGCTCCAGAAACAACAGACAGCACAGAACAAGGAACAAAGTAGTATTCAAATGACTGCAAACAGACCTAATGTCCATACTATCATTGAAAACAATCATGGAGACTCTGTAAGACATACCTTTTAGTAGTAAAAGAAAAAGCCAACATAGAACAAAAATAAAGTCATTCACATGGATGACACAATTACTGAACCTTACTAAATACCAGGGACTTGACTTTGTATCATTTTTACCCTGAAAACAGCCTCAAAAGTAACTTCGTTATTATCAGTCTATTACAAATGAGGAAACTAAGGTTCAAAAGGAGAGGATTTATTTGTCCAAAAACTTAAGGTCAATGAGAAAGCAAAGATATAAATTCAGGTCAGTCCAGGATGAAAGAAACCTGACTCTTTCTGCAATCACCCAAATATTCACCTTGATAGCATACAATGTTACAAAAGGAGGAAAAGAATAAAAACAAAACAATTTATTACATGAAGGGTAAAGAAAAGGTGGTTTGGGGGATCAAAAACAGGGAAAGTAGTGCAATGAGAGGTAAAAAGGGGGGGAAATTAGGATGAAAATCTAAAGTTTTTTTTTTTTGTTTTTGGTTTTGTTTTGAGATAGGGAGCATGAGTGGGGGAGGGACAGAGAGAGGCAGAGAGGGTGGGGAGGGGGAGAGAGCCAGTGAGCAAGCATCCCAAGCAGGCTCCACACTGTCAGCAGGGAGCCCAATGCAGTGTTGGAACTCACAAACCGTAAGATCATGACCTGAGCCAAAGTCAGCTGCTTAACAGGCTGAGCCACCAAGGCACTCCTAAGATGAAAAATCTAAATCATGACATATCTGGTAGGGAATGAAAGAAGAATACTAGACTGTGGATAATCTTGGACTAATCAATCTTTCTGGACCTTAGCTTCCTCATCTGTGAAATTATAAATGCTGGAGGGCGTTAAAAATTTTAATTTCAAACTCCTTCACAACTTTATTTTTTATTTTTATTTTTTCAACGTTTATTTATTTTTGGGACAGAGAGAGACAGAGCATGAACGGGGGAGGGGCAGAGAGAGAGGGAGACACAGAATCGGAAACAGGCTCCAGGCTCTGAGCCATCAGCCCAGAGCCTGACGCGGGGCTCGAACTCACGGACCGCGAGATCGTGACCTGGCTGAAGTCGGACGCTTAACCAACTGCGCCACCCAGGCGCCCCCCTTCACAACTTTAAAAACATTTTCACAAGTGTTATTTTTATTACATTCCATCAAATGGGGATTCTGTTTTATTCACTGCAGTATCTGCAGCACCTGGTTGGTACAAAGTAGGCACAAAATATTAGTTGAATGAATTAAATAAATTTGATGCCAACAATAACCCTGTAAGGAACACAGAACAGGGAAGGTATGATTATGCTTATTTCACATACAAGAAAAACAAAGATTCAAAAAGTTTAAAATACTTGTTAATAGTTCCATAGCTAAGTAGTAGAGCAGAATGCAAACTCAAGTCTCCCAATTACTAGTTCAAAGTTCTTTCCAGGTCTAAAATTTGTTAGATTTCAATACATACTTAGGCAGTCAGATACATCAATAATGGACTCTTATTTCTACCTTTCCAAAGGAAGAAAAAAAAAAGTCATTAGGATGATGTTACTATAGAAAGTAGTGAATGACTGATTCGGAAGAGTTACCTGAAAGAATGAATACCCAATACTCAATAATGTTATATATATGAAATAAAGGAAATAAAATCCAATCTCTGACTTTTTATCATACCTTATTTTTGGTGTTCCACAGGGAGCGTACACTTGTAATGATGGTTGGCTACTGGGCAAATGTTTGCTGTTAACACTGAGGGAGAAGGAGTTCAGATCTATCTCTACACGTAAGGCTATTATTCAAACCATACACATTACTGCAGGCCTCCCCAGTGACCTGAGGCTGAGGAACTAAGCTCCTACTCTGAAGCTCAGGATTAAATGAGTTACAGCTGAAAAGTCCTGACAGGGTAGCATGAGCTGGAAACATCTACGTGCACAGAGATGAAAATGCCATACAAGCCCCAGGGCAAAGCTCTAATTCTCCAAGACTGTCAGAAGTACAAGACTGTATTTCAAGAATTTAAGTGGGGAAGAAGAGGGGTTGGCTGCAAAACAACACCTTCAGATTTGAAAGTGTACTGAAGGCCAAGGCATGCAACTTCCTGCCTTGAGGCTACAGGCTGGTAGGAAAATCTGTGTGTGGAGTGGGTAACAAAATCCTTCAATAAAAAATTTTAAAAAATGCAAACTCATCCAAACATAAAATCCTTTCTTTCAAAAATAAGTAATTTCTGGATATGAAATGGCCACCCAAAAAATCAAGTAGTTTCAATACAAGAGAGACCAAAATATTTTGTCATACGAAAGGTAGTATATAAGCAAGTTTTGTAAGGTAAGAAATTTAGTGTATCTCCTAAAAATTTCTTAAAGCAAACTCATCAAACTACACTCCCTTCTGAAAATAAACTGAATATTCTCCACTGACTTAATGATCCTTTGGTTTCTTCTCCCCCTAAAAGCACTTCTACTAGGTACGTGTCAAAAGTAAAAGAGTAGTTATACTGAAACTACTTCCATGGCACTAAAATAAAACAGAGTATCTGGATAAGAGGGGGGAAAAAAAGGTATTCTCAATAAGTGGGGTGAAAGTCACATGACCAGACCTGGATGAAGAAACTTACATCCAGACAGAAATCAAGGCTTAATCAAGATCAACATCCTGTAAATATAAAGGTTAAAGTTAAAGAAGTATAGGTTTTTAGAGCTCCAGTTCTATAATCCGAGCGTTATCTCACAATAATAACTACTGTTCTACTTACCTTTTTTAAAAAAATTTTTGTAATGTTTATTTTTGAGAGAAAGAGACAGAGTGAGAAGGAGGGAGGGACAGAGAGAGAGGGAGACAGAATCTGAAGCAGGATCCAGGCTCTGAGCTGTCAGCACAGAGCCCGACGTGGGGCTCGAACTCACGGACCCTGAGATCATGCCCTGAACTGAAATTGGCCACTTCACCAACTGAGCCACCCAGAAGCCCTCTACTTACCTTTTAATAATCAATTTCCCCCTTCCATTTAAAAGTCATTTTCCTTACTGGTATAAACAATATATTTTAAATTTTTCTGCATCAAACAGTGACCTTACCTAGTAGCAAATTGAATGAGTGCATTTTGAAGAGTCTGCCTAATTTCAAGAAGAAAAGATTCATCATCACTTAGTGTATAATACCAGTACTGGACATAATCCCTCAAGGAAAACTGGATAACCTAAAACAAAAATATTGGGGAAAAATACAGCTTTAGGATTTAAAAAGGATCAGTGGCGAATTAAAACCTGAAAGGATTTTTTATCAATTTATATTTATTCTCTACACACTAAACTGTGATTTAAAAAAAACTGCCTTATCTGTGGTCAATCCCCACCCATATTCAGGTAAAGACAGAGTCTGCAAAAAACATAAATTTTCAGTGCCATGATACAATCAAGAGTTTAATTAGTTCAATGGAATGAGGTGCAAAATAATACCAAATGACCCTAATTCTCAAAAAGAAACCTCTTTTCCAAGATTATATCTTCAAATATACTGCAGTCAAATTACCAAAACAGACAAAGGAGTTCACTTAATTCTAGGACCTTGGATACTGCAACAGTATTAAAGCAGCCTATAAATAGCAAATAATACAATTTGATGTGTATTATTTTTGAAAATCAGGTACACTAAATATGGCTCATCTACAAAAGAAATGTTAGAATTTTAAAGTACACATAATAATCATATAATTAAATAAACATCAATGAAAAATATCTGGGAGGAGAAAAAAAATTTGTAATCTAATTTTTAAATATTTTTTAATCAAATCAGGTATATCCATTTAAAAAACAATAGGAAAAAAATATCTGATTTACCAAACCACCAAGCTTGTTCATCAGCTAAAGAGCATTTTAACTTTAAAATAATTAGAAACATTATCAAAGAAACTTTTTTCTATACGCAAATTCAAACAAAAGGCTTGAATATTACATAAACCCCTTCATTATGAATGATTTCTCAAATAAGGTACCATGTTTAAATACAGGATCCAAGGACAGCATAATAAATTTCCAGCATATTACATATATAACAAAAAATATTTCCTAGTATTTTCAAAAGAAATAAACCTTATTACACAATACAAGGTATGCAAATACCACAAAGGAAAACTCACTTGCTGGAGAGGTTCATCAATTATATTGGCACCTGTCAATCTTCTATCAATCTTTATAGTCCTGGCTTCTCGTTTCATTTCTTCTAAGCACTTAAAGAAAATAATAACATTTTACCGCACAGTTTCTTAATTTAAAATCTCTATAGTTCACTTCTAACTGAATATTCATTGTAACTTTCCTGTCATCTTCAAGTCAGTCAATAATAGCCCTATTTCTTAAGGCTCTGGTATAAACCAAACACCAGCTCTCAAAGTTTCTCTAACCAAGTTAGACACCCAGAAAAAAATTCTATTGTTATCCTCAAAAATTTTTAAAAAATCAGCAAATATTATTTATAATGTGAGAAAACTGAAAAGATATTGTTGCTGTATTTCAATTAAACTTCAAAGCCCTAAGTTAGTGTTTCAGGTGAGTCAAATTAATAATTGTCTTTATTAAACTCTCCTCTTCTCCCTTCCCAGCCTATATACACAGCTGCCAAATGAATATATTTTAATTAACTTTATTTAGGGATGATTTTTAGCAACTAAAGAAAATGAATTCCTCTCTTTCTCTGTAGTCTTCAGAAAGATCAGTGGACTGGAAAAACAGTGAAAATCAGTGGGACACTCTTCAATTAAAAATATGAACAAATAGCAAAGCACAAATATATATATATATAAAACATAGGCTTCAAATTATAACATGCAACTGCTAAGACTTTTTTCATAAAACATACTTATAAATCATTTTAGAAATAGCAAATGAAAATCACTCTTTTTATATGATGTACTAAAAACAGATTATAAGACTTAGCTAGTCTTGACTGTTATTATTTCCATTTAGGATATTAATTTTTAACATATTTCCCATCCTATATTATGTACCATTCCAATGAATGAAAAGTAATGGATGGCTAAGAAACAATCCAAAAAGAAAAGGTTCATTTCCTCGAAAAGATTTGTGAGCAAACTCAAAAGAATACGTATTAACAGGAATTCTAAAGGAGGGCAGAAGAAAGTCCCAAAGAGATTTTAAATGTTAAGTATTAGAAGAAAAAAAAATTATTAATATGAAAGTTACTAGGATGGGGTGAAATTCTTTTATTTCAGTAATATAAAATAATACCGTATATTACTATCTCTGCATCTCCTACATCTTAGCACATAATGGACAAGTTAATAAATATAAAGTTAAAATACAGGTATCAACTCCAGACCATTTGTCTCTCTTCATACAAGATGAGACAAACCATCCTGAATACCCAACAATTGAAGGCAACGCAAATCTGAAGCTTATTTATAATACTGAATTCCAATTTATTTTTATAGGTTATGATATAAAAAATAGAAATATACCAACATTCAAGATGTTGGATATATACATATATATATATATATACACACACACACATATATATATATATATGTATAAAACTGGGCCTAAATTATTAAAATTATAGATACTGCATAGCCTAACTGCAAGCTGTATTTTCCCAGTCAGTTAAAGAAAAGTGCCCATTTTCTTTTCTCCGGTTTCTATGTAATTTACTTCATTCCAAATTTTGAAATCTTATGTTAAGATAGCAGGATGAGGGCCCAAATTTCTATCTTTTCCTAAAACTTGCATTTCCACTTTTTAACATCTAACATTAAAAAAGTTTTCCAAGTAATCTTTTAAAAATGCATTTTCTAAGCATGATCAGGAAGTCTCCCATAAATTGACAGTGAGCATTAGTGAATTACAGGAAAATCTGCCAAGCCATATACAGGTGATCACATTATCATCACCGCATAGAAAAGGACTTTGAGGTTTCACACATTCCTTTACTCTATTTACCTTAGGAATCCCAGTGGATGTTGGAGGAAGAAATGAGTGTTCACACTGTTCTAGGTACTTCTCTGAGTTTGTTTTTCCAAACAGGAGAGTAACCACAAAACCCCTGGGGGAAAAATTAATTTTAGATACAAAAATAAAATTTTATTATAAGTAACACATCTATTACCAAATGTATTTTTCAGGTTTAACAGATGCCCTGTCATTCACTAAAAAGTCAGTTTTTGACTTTGGCAAGGCAAGTAACTGACAATTTTGTTATGTTCTGAAGTTTAAAACAACTATAAATATTTTATGAATTTACACAAGAGTGCCTTTCAAAGTTTTTATACAATATACTTCATAAAGAATCCCAGGCAACAAGTTCAAACTTTAGGAAAGTCAGCCCTCAATAAGTAAGTAGGTTAGCTAACCAAAGACAAATAGGATCTAAATCCATAGCTAAAATCACACGTTTCTGTAGTTAACTGATTAATGTGAGATAGTAATATAATTTCCACCATGGAAATAAAATAAATAAAGGCTATACAGGAAAAAAAGAGATTTAATTTATAGTTTAAAGTCAGACTGGAAATTAAAGATACATATAAATATATCCCGAAGGCTAATTGTTTTGAAATAATTACAGAGTTGCAGTAAGACAAAAACTGGTTTAGAACTGCTTTACTGTATTTACTAAACGTTATCAATATTTTCTATATTTAAAATTTACCACTTAAATCTCAGCACCACTAAGTAGATAGGAAATCCATAAAAAAAAAAACAACAACATCAAATTCTAACTTTACAATGATCTTGGAGTAATCTTCCAATGATTCAAAGGCTGTGGTGACAAGGGAACTGTGAAAAATTAACTATGGTCAGCCTCAACTACTGAAAGGAAGATTCTCAAAGTTCTCTGCTTTCTGTGGCTATCTGCTCCTTAGTATAAGCACCACAAACGCAGAAAGGGGAGTGGAGAAAAACAAGTCATATGAGCCCATGTCATCAATTCTATTTTTGTTTCTTTTTAAAAGAGCTGGCCTCAGAATTACCAAAAATTTCACCTGTCTTGCATCTGCTATTATTAGTAAGAATCAAGCTGGCCCCATATTTCAGTTTTATCTAGTGATATGTACATTTACAGACACAATAAAATGCTTACATTAAGTTAACAGTGCTAACAAAAATATTATCATGAAACAGACTGATAAAACACTAACCTTTGTCCAAAGTATGATAGTAGGAAAGTAAGAGAAGGAACAGTTTGATCTTACAAAGAACCTAATTAATAGTTTCAGCCTTGAGGTTTAAGTAAAATCAGATGCTAAAATGACTGTATCATCCGATACAACAGAACTACATGAAATAGCCCATAATATAGTATCAATAGCATCCCCAAAATTTTTTTTAAAAAACACACAAAAAAATCCCTAAATGATCTTCCTTCCAAAAGTTTTCTTTTTATTAGAAAATAAGGAATTAGCTTTGACTATAAGCAAAATATATACATTAGCAACAATGTAGAAGGGCAAACTGCAGAACAAAAACAAAAGGTGGTTGCCATAGGAAATGTATTAATTCCTCTCAAACTTGCATTTTTAAGGGGAAAAAATAACTTTAAAAACTTGCACAATAAAAAAGCACTAAAATTAAGAAATGGTTAGTATATGGAATGTAATTATTTTACTTAAGATTGCTATTTAAAAACCTATTTTCGTTCTTACAATTCATAAAGCATTAAACCATACAAAGTTAAAGAAAAGACAATCATTCTTTGTAAAGACAAAATAGGAAAGATGTGATTCAGGAATTATGGTACTCATTGACCATAACAGAGTTAATTGAGAAATGCTTAATTAACTAACCCCCTGAGACAATTTTGGGAGGCCCTTAGTATTTAAGTTAAAGTTCCCTTACTATAGCAGGGAATTTCATGGAGATCAACAACCTGGGACAGAACATCTGATCAATTTATGATATAATACCAACTTAGGATTTCAGACCCTACCATGTGACTCTTCATATTATCTACCCAAAGAGTTTTAGTGGCCTTCACACACCCTTCAAAATTCCATCTTATCTAAAAATTTACAGAACTTTAGAAGTGTCTAAAAAATATTTTGAGATTACTTCTTGATAAATCTGCAGACTCACAAAGGGAACAAGAAAAGTTACCATGACTCTGAAATGAATGGACTCATCACCCTTCCCCTTTTCCAAAACTTTATATGGAGCACTTTCGTGTAAGAGAAATGATTCTCCACTCCTCCACCTTCCAAAGGATCCTAGAGCTCCTGCTGACAAATAAAGTTGCAATTTCCTCCATTTATGAAATATTGGAAAATATTCTGAAATCCTTCTCCATCACTTTTGCCAAAGTTTTATTCATTTAGTGAACAGAAGAAATCTCTCCTTTTCAGAGAAACAGGTCAAAACAGTCTCCTTTCCAATTGGTAAAATCAATCATGAGCCTATAGAGAAGAGGTGCAACCATATAGTTATGCAACCATGCTGCTCTGGTCTTAATTTGTAACAAAGAAGTCTAATTTATGAAGCAAAGAAGGCTGTAGACCTATAAAGTCTTCAGTCATCTTTATCATCAACAAAGATATTCAAAATTTTACTTATCTAATTCCTATGGCTTATTTCTAATTGCTTCAGTATATAGTATCATATCTAAGCAATAATGATGAAAATATTCAATCTGAAATATAGTTTTAGGAATAGTCCTTGAGGTAAATGTTTGATTTCTCACTTGTTCTACAAACAGTGGGTGCACTCCCTATAAAATGGCTACACATAACTTTCAAACCCTATTGTGAAAGAGGTGGGTGGTGTTATGTACATTTAGAAGTCAGTTCCTGAGTATCTTACACGGTCTCTCAGGACACAGTTTATATATGCTATTCAATTCAGCTAAGTTCTCTAAACCTATAGGTTCAAATAGCTCTTCCAAATATTTGGGGTCTCAAAAGATTTTTTAAAAAGAACTCAAGAGTGTGCCTAGGTGGCTGTGTCAGTTAAGCACCCAATTCTTGACTTTGGCTCAGTCATGATCTTACTACGGTT